TTCTTAACAGTATGTTAGTGTTCAGTTCTTTTAAACGTAATTATTATTCAACAGAATTATTTTCCAGTGTCATTCCTCTGTAAAGCAAAAGGGAAGTATTTTTCACAAGCTTATTACACTTTGTACATAAGAATTATCTAGCCCAAACTGGGATTTAACAGTTTATTATCATAAATCACTGGATTATATTTAACCAATGCTGATCATTTCAGGAAAAGTGATTGCAGTTATAAACTAGTAACATTAATAACTCTCCCAGATTAACATAATTTTCTGCTGTTACCCCAAGGTGATCAAACACTCAATTGCTCTCTCTCCAAAATAATCTGCATTCATTTTAAAAATGATCCTTGTTAGTTGGAAAATTTAAAGTGAAACAGGATTTTCTTTCAGAAGTATTCATAAGGATTTATAATTCTTTCACTCCTCTTTTCTGCAATCTCTTACAAAGGCTGGTCTTTATATAATCTCAAAGCAATAAGTGTTGATTTATAAATTAAACCGTTTTGCTTAGGTGTCTAATACAAAACATCAGCACTATACTATTTGTGCTTGTTCCCCCAGGCTTCTCAAACCAGACCGATCTATAAATGGCTGCTGATAGCAGTATTCACAGTTCTTCTCAAAATGTCTCTTGGATGATCTCCAGCATGTCCTGATTTATCCCAGTTTCTCTTCATTGTGCTTAGGGGACACTCCCAGTACTCTACATCCACTGCAGCCTTTTTGCAGATAGCATCTAATTGTACTTTCTGGACTCGTATTGCATTTTGCCCTGGAGCTCCTTTCACAGAACTATATGTTGTCAAATAGTATTTATTGAATTTGAGTTGAAAGTTCAGTTTAATAGTTTATGGCAATCTGGGGATTACATGGAACACTTCCTTGGAAAAACTTTAGACTTGATTGGTCAGATGTCACGCTTGCCTTTCTCCCCGAGATTCTTCTGTCTTATGGAGCTTGCCTGCCTTAGAGTTCAGCCATGCTATGAAGTTGATTACTGTAAACTGGCTTCCAATTCCACTGAGCCGCACACTGCTTTCCCTCCAGTCCCCGAGTTTTGTGTGTGTTTAACAACTATTCCTGTTGGTCAGATCAAATTCCCTTGCTATGTTCTTAGCTGTCTTCAGCAGGGCTTTTTTGGTGCACTTTACATCACTCTTAAAGAATCAGTTGTGGGCTTGTCTGTTTTGTTACAATTAATTTCAGTTCATCATTCATTAAATCCAGCTGAGACCATCATATGGATTCTGAAAGTTCACACAGTGGAAAGTACATCCCATGATTGCATCTTATGAGATTTTCAGCAGAGTGATTGCTACTAGCAGAATGCTCAAATGCCAAGTTATATACTGAATTACTTGCAAATATTTGACTTGTGTATGGTAAGAACTGTCTTATCCTGTGTGCCTTCAGAAATCATTGCATTGTTCTTTTTCAAGTTTTAATTCACTCTTTCAGCAGTGTCAGGATTTCAGTGATTTCATTTGTTACCAACAAGTTTTTATTTGAAATTTTGAAATTTGCAAATTGTGTGGTGGTTTTCCTTGGTGAATCTGTATTAATTTTGACCATTCTAATGTGTGTGAGCTTTCAGTCTCTTTAGTTCACGTTACTCCACAAGTCCCATAAACTTATTAGTCCACAATAAAATTTTTCAGCTCTCTGTTTAAGACACTGTTAGTGTAATGTCCCAAAATATTTTCAGTGAACACAATGGCATAGTTCTGCCTTCACAAGCAGTGTTTTCACTAATAGCTTCAACTATATCCTTGGCTGTCTTTTTTCCCTTTGACATCTGGAAACCTTTTAGGGTATGTCTACACTGCAATTAAAAACCCACTGCTGACCTGTGCCAGCTGACTTCGGCTTGTGGGGCTCAGGCTAAGGGACTGTTTAATTGAGGTATTGTCCTTTGGGCTTGGGCTGGAGCTGGCTCTAGGAACCTGCAGGGTGGGAGGTGAGCTGAAGAAGAGCTCTGAGTAAGCTCAAAAGCTTCTCTCTCTCACCTACAGAAGTTGGTCCAATAAAAGATATCCTGGGACCAACACCGCTCCAACAACACTGCATATTATATATGGAAAAAGTTGATGGCACTCATTAACACCTTCCAACATAAGACCCTTTAATATCTCATTTCTGCCCATCCTCCCAATAAATATTAACCCTGAATGATTTATCTCCCAGACAGAAAAAAATAATAATGGTGGGTTGAGGAGGGAGAATGGGGAGACCCTGAAATGGGGGAAGGGGGGGAAATGTGAACATAAACAGAGCCACTTGCATGTGGCAGAAGTGGGATGGGGGGTACACAGCCCCTTGGATGAAGGAGAGGTGAGGGGGTAAAGGGAGTTCTTGAAATAGAGGGGATTGAGAAGGTGGCACAAAGGGAGCTGGTAGGGGTGGATTGGAGGAATGCAAGGAGCCTGTGGTATGTTCATTGAGCTCAGCCTACAGAAAGCATGTAAGGTTTGTTTGTAAGGTATTTGATAACTCTGGTGATAGGCATCCTGGAATGGATACGTTAGAATAGAGGGTAAAGTTGTGTCTGTCAGGAAGCTTCGTAGGCAATGTCTCTATACTACCACTTAGGTCGGCAAAACGTATGTCGCTCAGGGGTGAGAAAAGAACACACCCCTAAACGATACAAGTTTCGCCTGCATAAGTGCTGGTGTGGACAGCACTATGTCAGCGGGAGACGCTCTCCTGCCAGCATAGCTATGGTCGCTCGTTGAGGCAGTTGAGACATCTCTGAGAATTTAATACAGTAGAACCTCAATATTTACAAACACCAGTCTTATGAATGATCTGTTATAGGAATCATATTTCCCATTTGAGGGAAGGGGGGGGACACACAACAAAAGTGAAGTCTGAAGAACAAGTCAACATCCCTTCACATTCTGATACCTTCAGTGCATTGGCAATCACTTTGCAGTCATTTGAAGGACAAGAAGAAAGTGATGCAGTGCATCAGACTGCAATTATTTATGTGCTGTTCCTACTGTAACTAAGATGTTTCATTTTTAAAAACTCAATCCCTAAGTAGTTCATAAAATAGGGGTTTTATTGTAACAATGTCAGTTGAGTGTTTTGCAATGTGATCACTCACTTGAGCTAGGCTGGTGGGATCGGTGCATTAGTGGCTATTTGCCCCACTTCTGCCAACCGCCATGTCTGTGTGCTGCAGAGTGAGTGTGCCAACAAGACACAGCGCTTCTCACTCCACAGTGTGCACACACTGCAGCGGGGGCAGCAGGAGCAGGCACATTCCACTGCTGGCACTGCACTAAACCCCATGGGCAGGAGACAGCAGCAGTGGCTGCTAACTCAGGTTCGGAGAAAAGGGTCGAGTTGGGTTCAAAAATGACTTGACCCTCGTTGTGTCAGGTCAGGTGGGCTCAGATCCAGTTTGGGTCCAAGTCAGGCCTAGTCTTATGAACAACAGCGAGGTAAAAGAGAGAGTCCGTCGCATTTGGTATATGGCCTTGTGGTAGAGCACTTGCTCTGTGTGGCACTGCAGCACCTTTGCCTCAGTCTGCCCAAGGGAGTCGTCAGCACACTTTGGTGATGGATATGGGTTAGCTGTCTGGCTAAGTCACTGAGAATTCAAACCCTTCTAGAATAACTGCCTCCCCAAGCCCAAGTCCAACATAAACACAGACTAAAGGAATTTTCATCCCTGCTTGGCTCAGCTTTCAACCCCTTTCTTTCAGGCCTTAATGGCCCCAACAGGTCCTGGTAACAAATCAAACTAACAGTCTGTGTCACGCCTCCCTTCCCCTCCCCTCAAGGAGACTGGCAGACAAGTCTTCAGATGGCTCTTGGCCCACCCATGTTTCTTACACAACATGGGAACTGCTAGTCTCTTTTTTTTTTCCCGGTCAGTCCCAAACTGAGCTGGTTCTTTCCTATTCACTACTCCCTGCAAGCCTGACAGCTCTTGCAGGTGAAGTGGGCTGAGCTGATTGAGCCCACAGCAGCTTGTTAACCCTTCCTGGACTGAATGGGATTTGAATAACCTATCAGGCTCCTAAATGACTAGGCAAACTATAGGGTTTTTTCAGCCCTTTTTCTGTATATTTTAAGCTACACAGGAGTTCTATCAGACTGCATTTCAGAAATCTACCTACCATTAATACATGGATAACATTGAAAAGTGCCATGCCTCAGTTATTTTTCTTTCCTTAGATTGGGTGCCTTGGTTCTTTTCATCACTCCTACTACTTTGTAATGCCTGAATTAGCTTTTTTGAGGTCTGTACTGCATGTCTGATGAAAAATCTAATTCTTGTGAAATTCTTTTTTTTTTTTTTGTCAGTTCCTTCTGAACCTTTCCACATGCTTGCCTCTCGTTTCTTTTTCTAGTTCCTCACCAGTCTTTATTCATCTCCAAAGCACTTCTGGTGCTAGATGTTTGCAGTAATTTGTGTTCAGTTAACATAAGAAAAGGCATACTAGGTCAGACCAATCATCCATAGAATCTAGTCTTTTGTCTTCCAACAGTGGCCAATGAGCTTTCCTGCCGGCAAAATAAAACCATCCCCAAAGAGCAGCAGTAACGCATCTCCTACTGACAAAGTGCTGTCCATACCAGTTTTTCATCAGTAAAACTTTTGTTGGTCAAGGGTATGTTTTTTTTCACACCCCTAACTGACAAAAGTTTTACCAACAAAAGTGCAGTGTACACATAGCCTTGCTCACCCAGTTTGTTCCTTGGGTATTAAGGTCTGTGCCATACTCTTTGCAGCAAGACAGATTATTTCTCATTTGTATTAGGATAGTGCCTAAAGTCCCAATCAAGGCATCCCATTAGTACAAACACATCAAGAATACAGTCCCTGCCCTGAAAATTTTGCAGTCTAAATTAAAGTTCATGCTCCTGTGTTCTAAAAGTTCAGCTTTACTGCAGTTTTGCTAAATAACATTGTGCTTTAGTAAATCTGTCTCTTTCTCCAAAATAGTAAAACTGAGTGTATTTATCAGTCCTAAAATATCTTTCAGGCATTGTTCCCTCTTCTGTTGTCCTGACCGCTTTCCAAGTGATGTCAAGGGTCTTCCTGACATGGGCTGTAACACACAGTGTAAAGGAGGTAAGTTTAAGCTACAGGAGAGAGAATGAAAGGGTAATGAGAAGGTGCTACAAAGACGCATCAGTCACTTTTCTTTAATTTTAAATATGTTCTTCTCTGCTGCCCCACATCTGAGTGGTTTATATGAGAGCTCTATACACCACAAAAAATATATTTGACTACAGTTTACATGGTATTTACATGTTACACGTTGGTGTTTTCTTTGATCACTTCTCTGTCTTCCCATGCTTAGTTTAAGGGAGTCTTACATTTTTGACACAATAATTCCACCTGTATTCAGAATATTTAGGCAAATGAAATGATGGGAAAGGGTTAATTTCTGGTATTTCACTTTACTTGTGGTGGCCCTCTATATAGAGGTGATAATCAGAATGAAATAACTTGCTTCTGTTCCAAATACTATTGGATCTCATTGGTCAGAAGCATCCCAATTCTGGCCCACAACCATGACCACCATCTTGGACTTTAGGTTTTTTTGATAGCTGAAATAAGCTCTTTTACTTCCAAAATTACGATTACACCACTGGTCTGGAGTTTGATGGGGGCTAGAAGGGGTGTAATATTAAGTTTTCTAGTTATCCAACGGTAGATTCTTCTGGAAAATTCCTGTAAATAGGTGATGATTCTAGAAGAGCCAGTGAGGGATTGTCACTATGTCTTCAATTGCGATTCCCCCTTTAAATTTGTAATTTCCATTTACTAAACTTACTGTCCTAAACCCAAGATCCCACTTTTTCAGTATATCGTTTTGAACTGGGCAATGCCAAACCATTGTTACCTGAATCTTGCTACTATATCGTATTCCTTTCTACTGTGTGTCTGATCCTGCTTTTATTAAATGTAATAGTAAAATTAACTTTTGTTTTGAGTTGGAATAGGATTAAGAATTGTAGGTGTCTTTGCATTAAGCTTGCAATGTTTTCCTGAACGATATTTCTAATATTCTGTTCTTTTTACTGAGGATGGAATATTTTTCAGATAATTTGTTACATTTAAGAATCATAGAATATCAGGGCTGGAAGGGACCTCAGGAGGCCATCTAATCCAACCCCCTGCTCAAAGCAGGACCAATCCCCAATTTTTGCCCAGGTCCCTAAATGGCCCCCTCAAGGATTGAACTCACAACCCTGGGTTTAGCAGGCCAATGCTCAAACCACTGAGCTATCCTTAAGAGAGTATTCCTTTTATCATAATTAGTGTATATTACAATAGGTCCCGAAAGTATGTACAAAACAAGTGGAGGAAAAGAATATGATATACAAGCAAGGTGATCAAGATAGTGATTAGCACATATTTTATTGGAATCATGATTTTGCAGATTTTCTAATAATCCTTTCCACTAGTTCATTTGATAAGCAAAATAATATTTAAACATTTTTCTTAATAAAATCCAAAACACCTATGTGAAAACATCTGCTCTTCCTCTGACAGATGTATCTGTGGGATGCAAGTATAGTAATGTTCCAGTCCCTGTTGACTCCAGCAAAAAAATAGCACCAGAAATGGCTGCCAGATTTCAAACAAGCAAAATGGGATTCTGAGACTTCAGTTAGGAGCAAAGAATTAATGTTTATATTTAGATGTATCTTAAGATACGTCTACACACCACAAGTGAAAATATTATTGTTAGTTCTATAGTGCCATTGGGATGCATGGTGCCTTGTAAACAAGAATAATTATATAGAAATTATCCACATTGGAGAATTTCTTCATTATCTTGGCACTAAAATATTAAGGATTAGATTGCCTAGACTACTTTTTTAATATCCCCAAAGGTAGGGTGAGGATAGTGAAGATTCATATGGGATGCTGGCTTCAGGCATTGTAGTTAAACTACCCTGAGACAGTGACTAAAAGAAAGTGGTAGCAGGTCAGGTGAGGAGATGATCTATGGACACCAGATCCCAGATAGACATGGTGCTGTAATGTCTGGTATTTAGCGTCATGAGTGTTCATGCATCCGATGAAGTGAGCTGTAGCTCACAAAAGCTTATGCTCAAATACATTTGTTAGTCTCTAAGGTGCCACAAGTACTCCTTTTCTTTTTATGAGTGTTCTGCTTTTTCTAAAGGGCTGTCTGCACAAGTGATCTCCTTGATGAAGTCCAGGATTAAATTTACGCACCTTTATGGATTTTGTAAGACATAATATGTATATGCATGATGAGGTTTTTTAAATAAACTTCAATTTTGCTATTGAATTTCTTGAGTTAGAAGCATTTAATATCCTGCTTTTCAGAGTGCTTGCAGATATGATAGATTCTTCGAAAGAAGAAACATCAGTACTATATTCTTCCTCTTTACATTGACCATCTAGAAACTTATTCTGATATGATCTGAAGCATGAATCTTGCTGTTAACACGTTTGTGCTTCTCATGATTTTGTTGGGTTGGTGCTGTCATGTTTATAGATATATTAACTTATAGCTGCATGATAGACTTCTGTTAAGCTTTGTATGATGATGTATGGCGAGGAGGGGAGAGATTAGCTTATTTTCTTTGCGTCAGATAGGACTGGCAGTTGTTAGCTTTATAGAGAAAGTCCAGCATGTGGTGCAATATTTGCTCTCCAACAGTTATTTGTGAAGTTTCGTTACACCCTGAGTTGAGTGTGCTTGGCCTCTGTTGTTTGGTGTGTGCCAATATTGTGGTTCCAAAGAAAAAAGGGAAAGAGAGTGGTTAAAGCAAAACACTGGTCAAAAAAAAGTGTAAGGGTAATAATGGGGAGCCTTCCAGTTCCATGTCATATATTTGAATCTATGTAGAGCCGTAGAACCATGCTATCATGTGATGGCTTTTTGGTTGCCCATTTGAAATGCAACTTGATTTTTCTCCAGTTCCAGTGGAAAGGTGTTCATATCAGTATTGGCACCCTTATTAGTGATCTCATCAGAAAGGTCAGGAATTGATGACATGAAGACCAATATATATTTTATTTTTAGAGGTGGTATTTCCAAAACAGAATAGAATTCTGTTGGATCCTTGCAATCTCTGTCTGTCTTTTATAGTATCTTGGGTGGGTAAGTGGAAGATATCAGGTTCCGAGTCTGTGACATCTTTCACCAGCAATCAAGTATACTAAAAATTACTTGAAAAGAAAGACTGCCAATTGAATAGGTTAATATCCTATTTATTATATTATTATCATTGGGACTGCAAGAGCTTTTATCAGGGCTGATAAAATAAGAAAAAGCCCACACTAAAAAGATCAAAACTCTCAATGACAAAACACTGTAGGCCTGTAGACCATTATTTACATTGATGTAATAATACTTGCACTGACATAAAACTGGAGTAACACAAAACACTGGAGCAACTCATGTATCAGGCCCTGTATATCTATTTGGAACCCCACATTTTCTTTGTAAAGATAATAAAACAGGATTGGAAATTACCCTTATAATTAACATTTGTATAATGTTTCCTTTCTAAACACCCACCCATTTTCAATCCTCTATCACTTCCCAAAATATTCACATTGTGGACTGAAATTTTCCAGAAAGGCTTTCTGCTCAAAGATTATTCTTGGTTTTTAAACTTTGAGCAAAACAATTCAGCCATTTTGAGTATAAGAGAACCTTTTTACACATCATAAAAATCAAAAAGCATGAAGAACTCCCTTTTTCTTCTTCGCCCCCAACCTTAGGACATCTTTCATGCGTATGCATGAGGGAAAACAATTAAGGTTGGATAAATGACCTTATTTTGTCATATTTCTTGGATTCTGAACGTTAACTTTACATCCCAGCATAGTCTTTTTTTGTTTTGACTAATATAAAGATTGTCTCCTACTTGTAATTGTGCGGGTAAGCTAAAATAAATCCAAGACCTTTATTGGTAATAAATCAATTTGAAATAGCTTTTAACAGCAATTTATATCTGTGGTCTGAACAGCTTAGTTAAGAAGCTTGTTAAATCATCAGTCATATTAAGAGTATGTAATATACTTTGAACAAATATCTAGGACTGCATTCCAAAGCCTACAGGAAGAAACAGGTATTTTAAAAATTAAAATTAAAAAGAGGAGTATTAATGAGTGCAAATGACTTTTGAGGATGGCAATAGGCTGCTGGGTTTGTAAAGTCTTGCTGTCCCTTTTTTGTGCTCCCCTGGATTATTTCCTTTTAAGGAAAGTAGAGGGGATGATACTTTTGCGGAATTAACCGTAGCTGTGTCTAATCGAATAAGACTCTTGAGATATTGTTTAGTAAATCAAGCCCTTGAGGTTTGGTAATGTGCCTCTTGGACAAATTCAAATGTCTAATTCAGTTAAAGTGTCCAAAAACGCAGAACGAGGAGTTCTTGCTATGATAAATAGATTTCCAGTATATCTGTCAGTAAGTAACTGGTACCTAATTCTTTGTGGTGATATAAAGAACTATCTTAGCCAAAAACGATGAAGAAAATGAATACTTAATCTGTGGCTTTGCTGCAAAGAAAAGACTGTTGGTTGAGAACAGTTTTAAAACGGTTCAGGCATGCCTTCTGCTGAACTGGCTTTTAGCATTCTTTGACCAACAGGTGTGGACTCTGGTTTGAACACAGTTCTAAGACATCATCCACATTGGTTGGTAAAATGGTCTTAGCAATGATTGGTAGAGCAGGGTTTCATGTTTCCATATACAGCTGTTCTTGGTGTAGACTGGGAATGAGAGGACTATGACTTCAGAAATCAATGGCAACAGAAAAGTTATACCATAGAATTAGATCAGAGCTATCTAGGTTCTTTTCCCCCACTTATGGCAGTATATTTAATTGCCCACTCCTAGTACCAGTTTCTTGGCACCCTTCCCCCATACTCCCACCATTTTATGCTCCTCAAGTGATAATTGATGTCCCACATCCACAGTAATCCACTCCTCCTCCTTGATTCAAGGGACAGAGATCAGAACAGCATGTGAATCTTAACTTTCATCAGGGTACATCCTTTTCCCAACAAGAAATAAATAGGCAGACTTGAACTCACCAAATGCTGCTCCTGATTTGACCAGAAGGGGCAGCTATGGAATGCTTTGAAACTGCCTGTCCCTGGAAATAGGAGTAGTCTGAAATACTATTACAAGCAACGTGATCATGAATAATAGCAAAAATATTTTCTAGAGTTGCTGTTTTTTCTTATGTAATGCTATCTGTGTTTGCAGTCTGAGTGTAATAAAATAACATCTTCTTTTATGTGTTGTCCCATGAGTTTTTGACAAGTGAACATATGATCAGCCCTATAATACGAGCAAACATTTCCCCTATGCCCATATATTTTCTTGTTCCTCTTTTTGTGTGTGTGCATGTACTTTACCCAGGGTGAATTGTGTGTGTACCACCCACACCTACTGACTTCCTTTTCCTCTTTTAAGAGTTGGAGAAAAAAGGAAAATATGCACGTACCAGTTGGTGAGCTGTTTTGCTTTTGTTGTTCTACAGTCTAGTGAAATTGGGCTCACGGTGTTCACTAACAGCAGAGAAAATTCATGACATTTTTCTCCTGGAAGAAAACTGTACATAAAAATGTTTGCTGAAATAAGCTATGTATTAGAGCTTTTTCCCATTTGTAATGCAGTTTTGTGGCCACATAAGCTGCCCCATTATTGCTGTCTCTTTTTGAATTTGTGCTTCCAAATCTAAGCTTTCTTTTAAAAAAAAATTATTGTTGTGAAAATACATTTCAAAATGTGAACTGAGTGAAATTGATGCAGTGATGTCTTTCTGAAACAGTATGTCTTAGAAGAGCAAAATGGCCCATTCTTCTTGTATATTTCAATGTATTTACAGTTAAACCTAATGATGCTTTAAATATCAATGTTAACAATTTCACTGCTCCTAATTTTAGCAGAAATTACACTGGATGTAGTAGCAGAAATTGGGACAAGGTGCAGTGAGGCAGATAGTTGTCAAGTTTACTGAGGTAGCTAATGAATCCTCTCCCCCACACACACAGACACACAAAGGTTAAGGGCAGGAGGGAAAAGGAGATAAATCTTTTTTTGCAGTGCCAAAAGTTTCAGCTTTCTCGTTAATGCACAAAACTAAAATAGAATCCCATGCCTTCCTGGGTGCCAAAAGCTCTATTTTCTCAGATGAGGCTATCAACCTCCAATTTCCCGCCTGACAACTTCAGTGGTGCAGTTAATGCTTTTTATTACACTACGTGCATCGTGCTGAAAACGAAATATTTAGGGCAGTGTAAATCTATTTATATGGCTCCTATCACCATAGTGAATGAGCACCTCACCATTTTTAATGTATTTATCTTCACAACAGACATGTGAGGTAGGGAAGTATTATTGTCCCCATTGTATAGATGGGGAACTGAGGCACGGAGAGGCTAAGTGATTTGCCCAGTCAATAGACCATCCTCCCTCTCCTAACTGAACCTAAGAGACCCTCCCCCCCCGAGGTTGGGGAGGTGATAAGGGATGGGTACAAGCCCGGGGATTCAGGCAGTGCAAAATTATTCCATGTGGCTTTTGCACATCATTTAGGCCTAAGGTGTTGCATAGGATGGTGGGGCCATCAGTGTAGCTCATAGTGATAAGAGGTAGGTGTCCATACTTTTAAATTATATTTTCTATTTTTCTTCAGAATTTTTCACTATTGGGAGAGTATTTAGAATTAACAAGGAAAACTTACTAAAGTACCATGTTCATCTTCAAGTGAATCTTTGAATCAAATCAAGTGAATTTGTTAGTCTCTAAGGTGCCACAAGTACTCCTTTTTGTTTTGCGAATACAGACGAACATGGCTGCTACTCTGAAACAAGTGAATCTTTGGAACTCACTTTCTTAAATAAAAGCAATAAAACAAGGTGTAAGGGTGGATTATTTTGAGAACTATTTCTTGTCATGTGAGTAGTTAACAATTTATAATTTCTGAAGTTGTTGTACTGTATCTTTTCTTCCTCTCTTTAATAGGTACAGAACGAAGATAGTGTCCTCTTATTTGTTGTTGCCTGGACGATCTCTGAAATTATCCGTTACTCCTTTTATACATTTAGCTTATTAAACCACCTCCCTTACCTCATCAAATGGGCCAGGTAAGATGCATAAAAGGAAGGTTGACCTTTGCTGATATTTTACTGACTTGACAGGAAAGTTTATATAACCACACAGAAAATTAGTCTAATGAGCATGGAAAATAATTATTGGACGCATTTTTGATTATTAGCTGACAGTAACCACCTCATAGCCACAAGCGGATATGTCTCCATGTCCAGCTGTTGCTCCCCTCAGGCAATTTGTGTGCTTAAAATCTGTTAAATAGAAGTTGACATGAATGATCTTTAATTTCTCCCAATTGGAGACTTCATATCCAAAGTGATTATGAAAGAAATAAAAATTCTTGTTATACACTTAGTTTGATTTTTTTTTTTTTTTTTTGGTGACCAGTGATACAAGTGTCAGATATTATTTTTGCTTTTTTCCATAATCAGTGGTCTATAGTGAATTGATGTACTAATTTTCTATACTAGCTCAGAAGAACAATAAGAGGGTTGTAATCTAATAGATCAGACTGATTACTTTGCAGTGAGAATCAAATGTGGACTTTTTTGGTTGCTCAGCAGTGCATAGTGAATATGAATACCAATGTTAAGATTCTAGCTAAATGGGAGCATGGAAATTTAAGAACACTGTCAACTCAAAATCTAGCAATAAAAAATAATTTTTGAGGTACTATGCTTGCTTCTGAGTCTTCCTGCCAAATTATATAGTTTTAAAGTAATTTTCTTTTTGTATGGGTCTTTCACACAGTAGCGAGGAAAGAACATAAAGAAATCTCAGTCAGCCTGTTACAAGTTTCTCTGTTATCCTTTAATAAACTAATTTTGGTAGCTGAACATCAGTGATATAATAAATGTGTCAAATGTCTTTATCTTACAACAGGCTCCTATGTTATCTATGCTACAAGTATCTCTATTTTAAAGGAACATGACAATTTAAAAGAAAAGGAGTACTTGTGGCACCTTAGAGACTAACAAATTTATTTGAGCATAAGCTTCCGTGAGCTACAGCTCACTTCATCGGATGAATGCAGTGGAAAATACAGTGGGGAGATTTTATATACACAGAGAACATGAAATGATGGGTGTTACCATACACACTGTAACGAGAGTGATCAGGTAAGATGAGATATCTTTGTATCTCGTTACAAAGATAGCTCTTCTTACCTGATCACTCTCGTTACAGTGTGTATGGTAATACCCATTGTTTCATGTTCTCTGTGTATATAAAATCTCCCCACTGTATTTTCAACTGCATTCATCCGATGAAGTGAGCTGTAGCTCACGGAAGCTTATGCTCAAATAAATTTGTTAGTCTCTAAGGTGCCACAAGTACTCCTTTTCTTTTTGCAGATACAGACTAACACGGCTGCTACTCTGAAGTATGACAATTTAAAAATCACACTTCTGTCTGAAAATGTTTATTTACTATTGTTATACGTTACCCCCTTTTATAAGATGACTGTAACTGAAAGAGAGGGAAGAAAAAATTTATAGCACTCTGTGTTTTTGTCAGTTTCACTGTTTCCCAGTTTTAGACAGTTTCCTTTGTTTGTAAAGATATTTTATATAGCAATAAGGCAAAATGTCTTTGTAAAAGGCAGATGTGATGGAAAATGCTCCAGCTGGCAGTGGCTCAGGGACAGGTGTTGTACCTGAAACTACTTTTAACTCTTTTATAGACAAGATTTCAAGCAGATATGGACTCTTAAGCAAGTTAACTATCAATAGCAGGTGGTTCAGAAATGTGAATTACAATTTTACAGGGTTATACTCAAATATAATTTGCAGTTTATCAAAGGCACTTCTGCATTCAGTCAAATTTGGTCATTGGTTTGAACATTTTACCTTGGCGATAGCAACATACTTTACTGTGCTCTAATCAAATACCAATTAGTACTGAAATAACAAGGCAAATATTAAATTTGTTTGTGGTGATTGAAAAGTGGAGTAACCATAACATAATTTAACAAATAATTTCACTTATAAGAGTTTTGGACTGATTTTTTTTTTTATGCCTTTCCCTAAATGTTTTGTTCTAGGTACACACTGTTCATAGTACTGTATCCAATGGGAGTCTCAGGCGAATTACTCACAATATATGCTGCTTTGCCCTTCGTCAGACAGGCTGGCTTGTATTCCATTAGTTTACCTAACAAATACAATTTTTCCTTTGATTACTATACATTCCTGATCCTGGTTATGATCTCTTATATTCCAAGTAAGTACACCATTGTGTTAGGGTTTTGTGTGAAAACAGTATATGCAAAGCTAACTGAGAAACGGAGTGATTAAACTGTATACATAGCTAGCTAGCTTTACAGGTAGCAACATACTTTTCTGAAAGTTTCTTAAAGAAAAGAGATCAGACAAAAGTAGAACTACAGCAGTCAGTATTTACCAATGTTTACCACATAGTGGTAATGGAGAAACTAGTTTTTTTTATCTATACTTGAAATATAAAATAATTGTTGTATTTTTTGGCAAATATTGACTTTTTAAATGATTTTTTTCTCTGCTGCTCTCTTTCATTTATGGGACTTACTTGTTCTGAACATTTAGTCTATAGTTATAAAAAACAATTTTATTTGTTTATTTTTTGGTTATCTCTTCATGACTTTTCCAGTAGTTAAGTAGATGAGTGGCAGATTTGCTATCCTCACAAAAACTGCAGAGCAGTGCACTATTGCTCAAACAAAAATAGTCTTTGTGGGGAACACTGTTTTTGTATGCATCAGGGATGCGTCTTTAGCTATCTTGAGGGGGAGAGGCAGTCTGAATCATAATTTAGAAAGATATAATGTAGGTCTTGTTTTTCTTTGGTATGTGGTGTTTTAAAGTAAAAGACCTGTAACCAATACAATTATACATTGAATCTAAAATTCAAAAGAATGTAGTAATAATGCTATTGGTGTCTATTTAGCTATTTCTACAGCTGTTTTTTCTCTGAACTTTTTATTATCTATGTAGCCTTCTAGTCTATGCAGAATGATGCATCGTATCCTAAGTAAGATTTAAACTTGAGCAGTGTTGAATTCTACAATCAGCGCTTATAATCTTCTAAGTAAGGCTTCTTATGAATCTTGATGTCACAAAAGTCATAAACTTTTCCATCTGCTATGAAAACTGCATTTCATTCATTTGTGTCAGAGAATGATATATTTGGCATAGCTCCAAAGAGGCAGAGTAACTTTGGATTTATTTACATAAAAAGAAGGAAAGTCTCACTTTTTCACTTCCATCCATCCACTGGAATAGTTGGATTGTAGTTGGTGGAACCAAGTGGGGTGGTAGAAACTGAGCCTTCAAAATAATTTATCTAGATCTCACCCTTAAAATAGCTCAGTTTTGGGGCAGCACTTGCCCCTTCCAATAATATGTTCTGTTTTCAGTGTAGATTCATCAGTGTATTCAGATATGTACAGAATTTTTAAACTAATAATCCAACAATGCGAATAGTTTTTTTGATCACCCTGGTAGATAAGCATCAAAACATTCATGACATATGTCTGCTATTGTTCAACTTGTACTAGGTGTCTTCTTGCATAAACTTGTAGCCTTTGGTATTTTGGAAGCACATGAGAATTAAGATTCAGTTGTCAAATCAGTTTATTCAGTTCATTCTTTCTGACCCAACTTCACAAGTCTGCTGTCCCTCCACAAAAGCCCCACACTTTATGGAAGTCTGTCTAAGACTGGAGAAAATAAACATAGGACCTATGTTTTCCTGACCCGAAACTCCCACTGAAAACTTCAGAAATACTGAGGTTACAATGACAGAAAAATTTTGAAAACTTCTCATTGAAAGTAATACAATTAATTTTCCTTATAATTGCAGCTCCACTTCATGAAAACCTTTAGTTTTGAAATGAAGGTCCTGTCAAATTAGCTTCGGACCAAAATAATTCTCTCATGAAAATCTTGATTGCTCATAATGGATCCTATGCATGACAGACTTCCTGCATTTGTTCAAGTTTCATTGGAATAATTATGCAACAATGTGTTTCTTACTAAGTAATGTATCCCTCAACACTAGTTTCCCTGAAGTGCAGGAGTATAATCTGGAATTCAGTCAGGTGGGAGACAAACTAAAGGGGGACGGGGGAGAGGACTGTGAGAAACAAAGTGAAAGAAGTCGGAGCAGAGAGTGCTGATTTATAAACAACCACCTTGAAACCTTTCTTAGTGCACAATTTAAATAGCCATGGGCTGATCTGTTTTGCATAACAAGATCTTGGAATACACAGTTGACATAATCTAGGCTGACACTAACCTTAACGGGCTCCCATGGTTCACTAGGATGAACTGATCTTGAGCTCGTGTTTAGAACTAGTGTTCAGGCTTGTTTAGCTGTTCATATCATATGTGCATGATTTCAGTCTCACATTTTGTTCCCCCATTCTGCAAATACTATAATTTATTGTATAAATACAATCTTACTCCACTCTCTGACCCTCCTTCAGGATCAAAGAAACTGTACCCAATTCATTGTCTTTCTGAGATCTATTCCCCCCCCCCCCCCCCCGAGCCTTTTCTTCCTATTCTGTGTGTGCAGTTCAGGAACCTTTTAATCCTATGTGTGTGTTCAGCTCCTAGTTAGATATATAGTCTGGCAAACTCACTCTGATGCCAGTGTTCTGCTGTGTAATCTTGACTGTTCCTGCATACCTTGGAGTGAAGATCTACATTGAGGCATGCAGAAAAAGAGTGTAGTAGTTTCTTTGAAATAAAAAAGATCATACTGGCAAAAACTGATGCATGGTACTTGAAGTCTGTAGGGACAATAGTGTGCATCATCCACTGCCTCTCTATTTTTCTCTCTGATTTTTTATGAGAACGTGGAAAAGCAATTTATTTTCAAAGAGAGGGGGTTGACCTTGAATGTATGACTGTAAGTGTGTCATGTTCAAACACAAACCTGATTTCATACTTTTATTTACATAAGTCTATTCTCTTTTCAGTCTTTCCTCAGTTGTATTTCCACATGCTACATCAGAGGAGAAAGGTACTTTCCTATACTGAAGAACACAAGAAATCTGAATAATTCCAGCTCTTTTTCAGAACTTTTCACACACCAAAATGCTGCAGACTTTCAGTAACCCAGCACATTTATATAAAATAAACCAGGAGTGTAAAAATTAAATAGGAAGTTTAAAAAAAATGTAGAAAGAATAACTAATGTGATGATTTTCTTGAAATTTCACTATGTAAAACACTAGAATATCATTTTCAGCATGCATTGCTATGAGAAATTTATGTGGCTTTGACTTCTTAGCCTTTTATGTTTCTTTAATTTATATGCTAACAAGACCAGTTTATCACTTGACACCTGAAAGTTACAAAATGAGTGATAAGTTGAACCCACTAAGTGCAGTGCTTGAATTGGGATTATATTATTATTGTCATTGCTTTTTAAAAGCGCTTGACTACATGCCAGAAATTGTATGTATTGCTGTAGAGGCAAACTATATTCTCTGGAATGCTCTAAGATTTGGCTGGGACTCCAGTAACCAGGCAGATTGTTTAAATCTAGCAAGAGAATTTCCTAACTTGAAAGGCAAGTGGGAGGGAGAGCAGGGAAGCAATTATTGAAACTGAAGGGAAATGTGATTCTCTAGGAATTTAAAAAGTACGGTGTCCTACCAGCATATGTTATCTAAAGATTTAACTGTTTATTACCTCAAGCTCTGTTCCAGTATTGTTCCTACAGAGCTGTAATATTGCTCTGAAATATTAAAACTGCCTTGAGTACAGCAGCCTCAGATCACTTTTTTGAAATACATAGGGGGGAAAAGTGTAATTTTAACTTTTCTGAAATAATTGGGTAAAGCAATGTCATCAGTCATGGACCTGTACAGAGTGACACCAAGACATGTCACTCGGTTGCTCAGTGTTTTCGTCCCTTTATGGCTTTAAATTATCCCCATAACTTCTAACTGTTGTCCACTAGCTCATTTAACCTCTTTTGTTAACACACTTGTAAACAGAGAAGATTCAAATACATTTCTGACTTTCAACTTTAAGAATAAATGTACACAATCACAGTCTAAATATGTTCTATACAGAGCCTTTTTCCAAATTGTGTTTTGCCGCTTGAACTTAAAGATGAATAGGCAATAATTTCAGTGATACTGTTAAATCTAATTTTAATGATGCTAGTAAGCTGAACATTTCTTTTTTTAAATGTAGTCATTCATAGAGGGGCAGTATTTCCATGAACAGATTTATAGTTACATTTGTTTTAGGTTTTTCTGAAGAAGAAAAAATCTAAATCTTTTCATTACTACTTTTTATTTTTGTTGGCAATACTGTTTCTTGTTCCATTGAAAAAGTACAGCTGAATTTTATCAGTGCTCAAAATGGTAAAGAGCTTTCGATATGTAAATAGCGAAACCTTATAATTCAGCAGAAATATACCATGGCAACACTGGGGAGGGGAGAAAACCTAGAGATAATAGTACTGGTCTGTTTTAGAGAAATATAGCAGTGTGTTTGATTTACTGTACAAAATAATGTAAATGTACGTCTTTATTGACCAATAAATCTCTCCTCCTACCCCCTTCAGATTGGCTATCCAGGTTAATTATAGCCTGTGTTTTCAAATGGAGGAACCCAAATACATACATAGACACATAAATCACAATGGCCTGAGTTTCACAAGTTCTGAACACTCAGAGCTCCCATTTGAAATCAGTGGGAATTCTGGATGCTCAATTCCTTTGAAAACCAAGCCACCTCGATTTAGATGACTAAATATGGAGTTAGGAGTAACTTTAGACTCCCATGTCTAAACATTTTGGCCTATGTGAATGATATATGAAATGGGATACGTTAGCTATATTGATGGGAAGGAGGCTTGTACAATAGTTTTAATTAAATGGCTTTGGGTTTGCTAAGAAGCAGAGAGATTGCCACGAATTTTTGAGAATGGGGAGAAGGCTCTGTATAATTACCTATTTAGTTAGATAAGTTTTTATATTTTGGGATTTTATCACTTCTCTACCAATAACACAATACCGTATATAAAGGTAATTGACCACACATGTAAATGAACTCCTACATTTTTTTAAAAAAAATGGAACTAGCATTCGCAGATGTGAAAAATACATTGTTTTGGTTATAAGAAATCTCGTCATCAAACAAAAACCTATTCAAGAATTCAGTACTCCACGTTTTCAACATGTAAAATGCATTCCTGCTGTTCTTACTCAGACTAAACTCCTGTTTTAGTTGGTAGAAGTTCATCCTGAATAAGGACTGCAGAATCAGGCCCCAAGATATCTTTTTAATAACTGGTTTCTTTGTTCATAATATTAATTTTCTTTTTATAAAATGAGAATGAACATACATTCTGTGAAGTGTGTATCTGTCACTGAAATTTAATTCATTTATGTGAACCTAATAGTGGAGGGTTTCATAGGTACTTTATTTGGTATAATCTAGACAGTTTTTTCATAAACTGTTTACTTGACTCACATACTTTCTCCGTTCCACTGGTATCATCAAACTGCTACAGCAGATATCTGCTTCTGCGTTGATGGTTTTCATGATGTGCATAATCGTTTGTAGACAGGTTACTAACTTGTGTCCTACCGTGCTTCTTTATCCAAGTTTGTCATTACTATACATGGAAGAAACACCATGGTCCTTCCTAGTAGACAATGTACACCTGGAAGGAAATTTTGTAGAAATTTTCATAGTATAATTTACAGTAAAATGCAAACTAAAGGTGCAGATAAATTGTAATTTTTCACAATGTGATGCTTCTATCAACATTTTTTTTATTTACCAGTGAAGATTGGCATTTGTGTGGACCACTCTGCAAAATCATTTTAAAGTAATCTTTCAAGATACAAATATTCATGAATATACATCAAATCAGGTATATGTTGGTGCATATTGATATAATGAAATTTGGATGAAAACTGTACGTTATATACAGTCGTTTTTGTATTTTTGTATGTTGTGAAGAATAAAATTGTAATTTTATAAGTCTTTGATTTACTAAGATAATTATAAGTTAAATGTATTTTTTTGTATATGTAGGAACCAGATATTACATGGAGCTCTGAAATACTAAGCTTAGACTTTTTATGCATGTTTGGAAGATATTTCTACCAGATGTTAATGTAGTGAAACAGTTTGTTCACTAAATATTAATTTGTGTTGTTGCATTGTGTAATAAATGGATTCTGTGCTCTTTGCCTGGCTTTGAACTACTGACCAGTGATACTAATTTCTGTAATCCAAATAATAAAATTATGGATGAAATATGGAGTGTTGGTAGTATGTAAGGGAAAAAGCATAAATATATTTGAGTATGCAATAGCAGATGGTTAATCCTTAATAGTTATTGCTTTGTACTGTACACAATATATTTTTTCTTACAGTTTGTAGGAAAATTTTTGGATTCATAACTTTTTGCACTCAGAAGATGGTCTAAACTTAAAATGTAGTAATTAACATTTTATTTTTCAGTTTTTGGAAATGTCCATCACAATGTGTTGAACATGTACAGGTCTTTGAATAGAATAAGAGATTTTTTGCTTTTCCATTGCTATCTGCACTATCACAGATAAGTACAACTATTCTTTTAGCACAAGTAATTATGATTATTCTAAATACAATGGAATGTTCTACCAAATGCAAGAGTATTTGGGAGTTCACTTACTAAATACACTGCAAAGTGTTTGCTACCAAGGCAGCTGTCTGGATATTGTCTTAATGTTTTTAACACTTCCTCGGAGAAAGATTTTAAATAGCTGTGAAAATTAATGGAATCTAGCTAATATGTTGTAAGCCTCTAACAGGACCTGAGTAACAGTTGGAAAGTGAGTTATTCTGTTCTAGCCCTATGTTTCGCATAGGATTCCACAACTACGGTGATTTTTTTGTTTGCAAAAAGGATGAAATAAAGGACTGTTTTCATGCCCTGTAAAAGCACATGCCCCATGCATGACAGCTGTGACTTAGCACAACTAGTATGTAATTAAAAACTTCCTTTTCTAACTTTGCTATTGATGTACAGTGCTTAGGCTGAACTCTTCCCAGCTTTGTCTTAGCATAACTAATGGTCAATATTTTCAGTGTCCCCGTTCATATTTCTTTTACCAAATACAGAAAATATGGAGGCAATACTAGTTACCTAGGGTAAAATCTAAAAGCTTTTAAGTATGAGCACCCGGTTTACAGGGGAATTATTTAAAAAATAATATTTAAGTGACAGGTCATGGCAGTTGATGGCCTGAAGCTCAGGAAAAGCCTGAGGTAGGGAAGCCTGAGGTGCTGGGGTAGGCATAAAATGAAAAGGTGTTGATTTCTACACAATTCCCTTTTATTTAGTATGGAGAGGGCATTTCTGGAGGGTCAGTTCTCTTTACCTTAGAGATGATTTTAGCCATCTGACTACCTGAATATTCCATTCAGCTTCCAGTAGCTCTGAAATTCTACTCACCTAAATAGAATTTTTTTTTTTTTTTTGGACAAATGAGGAAGATCTTTTCTCAGTACGATAGTAGTGGGTGAGTAAGTAGATTTTCTGCCTGTGCTGGCAAAGTTTGTGACAGTTTTTCAAGGCTAGGTCATAATTAAGCAATAATTACTGGCAGGAAGGGTACCCCTGGCAGTTAAAGACTGGATGGTTAACTTCAGACTCATTTAGTTAGTCACTAATTTCCACATAATGCCCTCCTCTAAGAACTTGATGGCTACTAAAGAGCCATTGAAAACAAAATATTAACCTTCTTATATATTGAAAAATTAAGCTGGAGTGCATGCTGTCAGAGCTGTGGTATTCTCTTCACAGTGTCAGTCTTGATGTACCAGTATACTCACCAACTGGAAAACAGAACTTCTCTCTCAACATTCCATTGGTTTATAATTTAAGTAACCTGGTCTTCATTTCTTTAAAACCCTCAGTTAAAATATGTATAAAGCCTTCCACTTGTAGGTCACCATTTCCAAGCCAAGACCATTCCAAAATGACACAATAGTTCAGCCTCTATTGTATATCATCATCTGGGTAGGTCTCGTTTAATCATTTCACTGCCATTGCAGACGCCTTGGGCCCGAGTGCACCTCAGTGCCTGCTGTTCTCTGCCTATGCAACAAGTCTCCTAAGGACTGTAATACTGTGTCTAATTCTGGTTGTTGCCATGGGGGTGGAGGAGAGGAAAGAGTAAGGGTGTTTAGTGGCCTGTGATATACAGAAAGTCAGAATAGATGATTTGCTGGCCTTAAACTCTGCCACTATGACATTAAATGTGTGCGCTCTCTTAGTCCAGTTCCTTGTTTACAAGCAATCCCAGCTACATGATACTACTGGGGCTCCTTTATTGGAAGTCTCTGCAGGGGTTTCCTCATATAGATGCTGAACTGCACCTGTCCCTGTGTGATGGTCTCACCACTTCAGAGTTGAAAGCACCTAGCTATGATGGTTATGGATAAGGTTGTACAGCTGCTACCTGTTGTGAGGACAGACTGAGTCAGGCACCTTTCATAAGCACTAAAATCACTAAGTATAAAAATACATTAAAAGATTAAGCTTGCAAAATCAAGCATCTGAAAAATAGGAAATGGCAGCATTAAGGTTACAACCTTGAATTACAACCTTAATTCAGCCCTCTTGTGTGAATGCATTATGATAAGATGGTCTTGTGGTTAAAGCAGTTGAAAGTTACCTTGCAGAATTGAAGAAATTGAATTTTTAAACTGTGTCCCTTTACATTCAGTTCTATGTTGATAATATCCACTTAAAAGCTAATCCTGCATTTCTTGTGGATTTAAAATGCCCAAGAATGCTTCATTTTGGGAGTGCAGGAACAGGCCCTTAATCAGCAAGATGATATCTATGTAGCCTAAGATTGTTCTAAGAAATCACTTTGTGTATGTTTTTCAGTTGCTTTTCATTGTTGTAAAGTTCTGTAAGTGTACACAGCACTACATACAATGGAGAAAGACAAGGGTCCCTGGTGCTGGGAGCTTACAATCTGTGACAAATGACAAAATGCCAATACAAATATGAGATGAAGAATGTTTCAGGTGCCAGAGGGCCTGGAGGAATTGAGGGTGGTGGGACTGACCTAGCAAAGCTTCAAGTGAGTATTAATAGGATTACCCCAACCAGCTTGTACAGCAATTATTTTAGTTATGCTGCAAACAACTTAGATACTAAAATGTTTTTTCTTTTGCTATGATAACACAAATAGAACTTCTGGGTGTAGCTTTTTTCTAGAAATTAAGCTGTGCTCAAGAAATTCTTTCATGTTTCAGTATCTCTTCCCTTAAATAAAGGAAGCAATTGGAACCAGTTTTATCCTCCACAAACTCCACTTATTTTTAAACACAGTGACCTTTTTGATATTCTTTATAATACAGAAAAGGTGTTCATCAGTTTTAGCAGGACAAATACTACATAGTACAATGTAAAAGCACTTATTTGGTATCAAAACAGTTAAAGTCAGGAATACAGTTCGCATCAGATCCAGTTGAGGTGATAGCCTTTCTTATTAGTATTCTTTTTTACGAATTGCTTGCATGATTCTAATAATTTATTATTACAGTGTACTACTTATCTTCTCCCACTATTTTATAACCACGTAACAGTTATATTAAAATAAATCCACTACATATCTCTAGTATCTGATTTTAAAAAACAAAATTGAAACATGCTTGCATAATTAAATAGCTTTTGGAACCCTAAAATGTTATTAAAATGAATACTTCATTTCAGTCTAGCTGATCTCACAGTATGATACTATACAGTACTTGTGAAAATTTAAAATAACTTTTTAATAAAAATCCTGGCTGTCTGTACTTTTTTTTTCATTCCACTATTGCTGATTACCGAAATGAGGAAATGCCCTCTTACGCAATAGTTGTCTAGCACAGTGTGAGTATTTTTCTATCAGTGTCACAGACATTGGGTGGGAGAAGACAACTAATTAGGGGTCTAATCTTGAGGTATACTGAATACCCTAAATTCTAGTGAAAGCCAATGGGAGCTGCTGGTGCTCAGCACTTCTGAAAATCAGGCTGATTATCCAGTTGCCTATGTCTGGATTTAGGTGCCTAACTTGGAAAACATTGTCCCCAAGTCTCTACCTCTCTGTACCTATCTGTTACATGAGTGCCATACTGCTACAGAGGTGATGTAAGGCTTAGTCTTGCTAAAGCACTAAGGCATTGTCTACATTACAAAATTAGGTTGAATTTATAGAAGTCGGTTTTGTAGAAAGCGTTTTTATACAGTCGATTGTGTGTGTCCCCACATAAATGCACTAAGTGCATGTAGTCGGCGGAGCGTGTCCACAGTACCAAGGCAACTGTCGACTTCTGGAGCGTTGCACTGTGGGTAGCTATCCCACAGTTCCTGCAGTCTCTGCTGCCTATTTGAATTCTGGGTAGAAATCCCAGTGCCTGATGGGGCTAAAACATTGTCGCGGGTGGTTCTGGGCACATATAGTCAGGCCCCCCCTTCCCTTCCTCCCTCCCTCCATGAAAGCAAGGGCAGACAATCATTTTGCGCCTTTTTTTTCTTGAGTTACCTGTGCAGATGCCATACCACGGCAAGCATGGAGCCTGCTCAGCTAACCGTCACTGTATGTCTCCTGGGTGCTGGCAGACGTGGTACTGCATTGCTATACAGCAATAGTTTATTGCCTTTTGGTAGCAGACCCAGTGCAGAATGACTGGTAGCCGATGTCAACATAGTCCAGAGTGCTCTTTTAACCAACCTCAATGAGGTCAGAGAAGCCTGGGCAAACATGGCAGTGACTCAGCCAGGTCATTTCCCTTTTAAGTTTCGTCTCACGGTGAGTCAGTCCTATCGGCAGTGCAGAAGACGATGGCCAGCAGTCATACTGCACCATCTTCTCCCGAGCACCCAGAAGATGACGACAGCTAGCGGTCGTACTGCACAGTCTGCTGCCAGCAAGGTGTACAAAGACAGATGAAATGGATCAAAACAAGAACCAGTCCAGATTTGTTTTGTATTCATTTTCTCCTCCCTCCCTCCATGAAATCAGTGGCCTGCTAAACCCAGTTTTGAGTTCTATCCTTGAGGGGGGCCACTCTGTTTCTCGCAAAGCCACCCCCTTTGTTGATTTTAATTCCCTGTAAGCCATGTTGTCAGTCGCCCCTCCCTCCACCAGAGCAACGGCAAACAATCATTTCGCGCCCTTTTCCCTGGATTGCCCAAGCAGGAGCAGATGCCATAGCACGGCAAGCATGGAGCCCGTTCAGCTCACCACAGCAGTTATGACCATTGTAAA